GAGCAGAGGCAGAGCGGAGGAGCCACTCAGACATCCTGGGGAGGGGGAGGCAGCCACCCTGTGCTTTTTGAACATGAAGAGGCAGTTTCTCAAGTTCTCAAGTTTAACCTTCAAAAAGACTCTGTAAAAGGCTAAACACAGTTACTGTCTGACCCAGCAATTCCACTCCTGGCTATAGACCCAAGAAAAATGAAACATATGTTCATGCAGGACTTGTGAATGAATGTTCACAGCAGCATTATTCACAATAACCAAAAGGTGGAAACATCCCAAGTGTCCATCAACTGAGGAAAACATAAACAGAATGTGGTTCATCCATGCAGTGGAATGTTAGCCCGAAAAAGGAACGAAGCTCTGACACATGCTGCGACTGGGATGAACCTGAAAGACACCAGGCTGTGCGAAAGAAGCAGACACAAAGGCCACATGTTGTACGATTCCACTGATAGGCAATGTGGAGAGCAGGCAAATCCATAGGAACAGAAAGTAGACTAGTGGTTGCTCGGGGCTGGGGAGGGGAGCAAGGGAAGTGACTGCTAATGGGTATGAAACGTCTTTTTAGAGTTATGAGTATGTTCTAAAATGGACCGTGGTGATGGTTGCACAATATTGCGAATATACTAGAAACCTCCGAATTCTGCTCGTTAAGTGGTTGAATTGCATGGTGTGGGAATTACATTTCAATGAAGCTTGTTCCTTCAGAGTCAAGACTGGGGTCTCCTAGAAGGAAATAGAGCAGTGGTTCTCAACCTTCTGGCCCTTTAAATACAGTTCCTCATGTTGTGACCCAACCATAAAATTATTTTCGTTGCTACTTCATAGCTGTAATGTTGCTACTGTTATGAATCGTAATGTAAATACCTGATATGCAGGATGGTCTTAGGCGACCCCTGTGAAAGGGTCGTTCGACCGCCAAAGGGGTCGCGACCCACAGGTTGAGAACCTCTGAATTAGAGGCTCCAGGAGGTAGGAGCCTGAGGCCAAGTGCTAGAAGGCAGGGCTGGGAAGGCTGGATGCTGAGGGCTGCTCCCTCTCACACCAGGATGCGCCTCGGACTCTACCCCAGTTCTACCCCCTCCTCTACTGCTGAGCCTTTCCCCACGACAACTGGGATCCGGTCCTCCTGCTCCTCGCTTGATCTTCGCCTCCTCCAGGAAACCTCCCTTGACCTCTCTGTTCGGATGCACTGCTCCTGGCCTCTCCTGTTTGGACATGTTTCCTGAAATATATTGTTATACTTTTTTTTTTTCCATAGCTTAAAACAAACGGCCTGCACCTGCAGAATTTAAGATACGCTCCCCAACCCGCTCGGGCACTTCCCTTTGCCTGTCCGAGCTGTGTGCCCACCAGATCTCCTACTATCTTCCAAGGACGTCCTGTTGTTCAGGTAGCTCCCCCAGCTGCTGGTGCAACCCTGACCCAGCCCCTACATACAAGACGACATAAACATTCCCCCGACATACTGGTCTCAGCCCGCTGTGAGAAAGTGTAGCAAAATTTCTTAAACTCTCACAGATGTTTCCTGAAATATATTGTTATACTTTTTTTTTTTCATAGCTTAAAGCAAACGGCCTGCACCTGCAGAGTTTAAGATACGTTCCCCAACCCGCTCGGGCACTTCCCTTTGCCTGACCGAGCTGTGTGCCCACCAGATCTCCTACTATCTTCCAAGGACGTCCTGTTGTTCAGGTAGCTCCCCCAGCTGCTGGTGCAACCCTGACCCAGCCCCTACATACAAGACGACATAAACATTCCCCCGACATACTGGTCTCAGCCCGCTGTGAGAAAGTGTAGCAAAATTTCTTAAACTCTCACAGCGTCTCTTGGCCTGGCTCCTGTTGGCGCAGACCTAACACTCGCCATTCACATCCTTCCACCAGTGGCCACTATCGAGTGCCTACTGTGTGCCAGCTGTGTTAGGTACCGGGGCAACACTGGTGAACAAACGTTCCAAGGCTGTCATCCTGGGTGTCACCACATTTGTACCCTCCCCCCTCACCTGAGAGACATACGGTGGGTGGAGGGAGGGGATTAGTTGCCAAAGTCTCCACGCCAAGACTGCTCGTTCCTGGATGTCATCCTCTTGCCCCCAGAGCATTCAGTGTCCTGTTGTTCTTGGTAATTCCTTCTGGCACAGTTTCAAGCAGGTGTGTGTGTGTGTGTGTGTGTGTGTGTCGGGGGAGTGGCTAAGGAAAAGACATTCTCAGCAAGGGAAACAGTGTGAGCAAAGGCTAGAAGGTGGAAATGACAATGCCTGGTGTGAGGCAGGGAGATGGAGGGGCCACCAGGTTTAATGCTGGAATTTGGAGCCCTGAGCGGTGGCTGCTGGGACGGTGGGTGGGTGCTGCGGGTGGAGTGAGACCGCACCAGGAGAGCTCTAAGAAGAGCCACCCCGTCTAGAACAAATCCCGTTTTACGTACTTTGACCCTGCGTGTGCCAGCATGCACCCCAGACACCACTGTGCCAACCACCCGCCTACGCGGCCTCTGGCTGAGTCTTGCCCTGACAGGCAGGTGCAGGCCTGGCATCTGGGACCTGGGCTGGGCCCCGGTCAATGGTCTTCACCCCACTGGCCGTGCATAGCCCCCTCTGGCTCGGGCTGCCTCTGTGTGGGAGCTCTGGAAATATTTGTGGGTCGTGGAGGCTCCCCTGCCCCTCGGAGGCGCCCCAGGCGGCTGGGACTTGCCCAGATGCCATTAGGCCCAGATGCCACTAATGGGCAAAACCGACAGAGACCTCTGGGTATCGGCTGGAGAGGCCGGCTGACCATGTAGCCAGGAAGGCTGGGCTGGGACAGGGGTGGAGAGAGGACACGGGTCCATGTCTATCTCTACCTGGGACTGTGGCTCAGTCTCTCAGAGCCCGGGTCTCCTCTCAGCCTTTCTCCTCTGTGCTGTCCTGGGGGCTCAGTGAACTTAGGGGTACAGAACACTCTTGCATAGTGTCCAGCGCACAGGTCCCATCACTGAGTAACGGCGGACCCTCACTGCCCCTCTGAGGGAGCTCCTAGGACGGCACCTGGGCTCCTCCTCCTAGTTCCCCTCGCACAGGTCTCCTGAGTCTTCAGATCTCCAATAGGAGCCACTGCCAGCATCAGAGCCAACCTCCAGGGGACACCAGGTGGACCGGGCGGACCAGGCTACATAGACAGATCCTAGTTCCCCTCGCACAGGTCTCCTGAGTCTTCAGATGTCCAATAGGAGCCACTGCCAGCATCAGAGCCAACACCCCAGGGGACACCAGGTGGACCAGACTACATAGACAGACGATGTGATACTATAGAAGGATCAGGAGACTGAAGCCTGAATTTCACTGGGCCCTTAGGCAAGACACCTGTCCTCACTGAACCTGTCTTCCCCACTCTCAAATGGTAATCATAGCCCCAGCAGGTTTGACTCAGTGGATGGAGCGTCGCCTGTGGATTGAAAGGTCCCGGGTTTGTTCCTAGTCAGGGCACATGCCAGGGTTGCAGGCTCCATCCCCAGTGTGGGGCATGCAGGAGGCAGCCGATCAATGATTCTCTCTCATTATTGATGTTTCTATCTCACTCTCTCTCCCCCTTCCTCTCTGAAAACAATAAAAATAAAACATTTAATAAAATAAAATAAAATGGTAATCATACTTGGCTAGCCCGCTCCAGCCACCAGGGCTGTGAATCCGATGACTGGCAAACCGACTGGCAGCGAGGTGCGCCCCATGTCTGCTGTAGGGCCCCATTCCTCGGTGCCCTAGGGCCCAGGTCTGTGCGCCTCCTTGGCTCACTTGCTCAGCTCGCGCACCTGCCACGCCAACCTGGTTGGCGAGGGGCGGGATCGGCCTTCTAAGACCTAGTGCTGGGGCCCCGCGGTGCAGCCCCGTCACTGCTCTGCGTCCCGACCCGCCTCTGCCCCATCCCGAGGGCACGGGGTGAAGACCTGTGGCCGGGAGGTCTGGAGCCCAGCGTCTCCCAGCGGACGCGTCCAGGTTTTCACGCCGCGACGTCGGTGGGTG